GTTAAATATTATTCTTACTTGTAAATGTAAATAATATTTTAAAGAGCTGCATGGCTCCCTTTCCCTTCTTGGCATACTCTCATTTATCTTTAACCACCTCATTTGGGAAGCCATCCTGACTACTGCCCTACTTCATCCCTACCCTTAGCCAGGAAGTTAGCTATGCTCTTCAAAGTTTCTACCACATCCATTAAAACACTTACTACACTACCCACCTATCTTTTTCCTCCAGAAGACTACAGCCTCCTCCTGTGTCTTATCTCTGTATCTCCTGGGTCAATAAATGTTTCAAATCAATGAAAATTACTTCATAGTCCTACTTTCTGTCTTGCACTTCCAACTGCATCTCTGGTCCCTAGGATGACAAATACAACCAGGACACCTTTGAATGTGAAAGGAAGCACTTTTAATAATTGTGCTGGGACGATGGACATAAATGGTTCCAGGCAAACCAGAACCTTGGTCAAGTCACACTTCCTGTTAAAGAATGTGTCAAACTTAAACCATCGCTTGTCCCACCAGGACACCTATTCTTCCAGAAATACTATTTTTTGTTAATAACACTACCATCCTTTCAGTAACTCCATGTCAAATGCTGGATTTATATCAAACCTCCATTTATCTCTCATATTCAGTTCCTTAGGCCTACAGATTTGAGAAAAGCTAACCAGAGGAAAGATGATAAAGAACAGAAGAACAGTGATCCAAATTGGATTTTGTTCTTCTGTTTAAATTTCCACAGCAATCGTCCTAGCTCAGAGTCTCAATAATTACCAAAGCCTCCTAACTGGTTGCCTTACTTCCAGCCTCTACCTATTCCAGTTCATTCAAAAATCCCCCCCAAATACATGTCTGACCATATCATTTCTGTACTCAGAAGCTACAGAATTCTGCCAAAAGAGTCACCCCAATAAAACACTCAAATGATTATGTGAATAGTTTAATTATATTTGTCAAACCCAACCCATATTATCTAAGCTTGTGGTTTTTATTATTTCCTTTTTCTAAGAATGTATCTTGATCATCTTATAACCTGCTTTAAAAAATCCATCTATATCTAGATCATCTCTAAAAGATAAGAAAAACAAAAAAAGATAACTGTAATGCTATGCTATTATCCCATTGCAAATCATGAACAATTCCTTTTATCAAGTATCTAATCAGTATTAGATACTTAGTATTATTCCCACTATCTCAAACTCTTAGAGTTGCATTGTGTGAATGAAGTTCCAAACAAGGTTCACACATTGCATTTAGTTGACACATCTTTTAAATCCCTTTTAATTGGAAGGTTTCCCCATCCTCCTTCCTTTTTTCTCACAAACTTTGCGATTTACTCGTGTGCTCTACAAAATTCTCTACTTTCTGGATTTTGTTGTTGTAACCCCACCACTTTCATTTAGAATATGTGTCTAGTTCTTTACACATCCTGCAAGTTGGCAGTTGGATCTAGAATCTCAACCAGATTCAGGGTTATCACTAAATAGGCCTTAGGTGGCATGACACACTTTCAGGGTCATCTCAAATGATAACTTCTTTCATAAGGCTCAAATTGCCTTTCCTGCCCTCTTCCAAAATAAACAAAAGAAACACAAAAACTGGACATTCTTTTTTCTTTCTTGAACTCCTCATGGCAACAAACACAAAGAAGCAGTTTACTATCTATACCTCTCCTATCACCAATTTGACTAGAAACTCCTCAAACCCCAAGGACAGTCTTATCAGAGTTTGAAACCTTTGGAGTCCCTGGCACAGTTCCTTAAATAGAGCAAACTTGCAAATAGCTACTACTTGGACTGAATTCCAGCTTTCTTTTTACCTTTTTTTGGGGAAGTGATTAAGCATACAAAAACCTGTGGTTCAACTGCACAATTCCTCCCTGACAGATGCTATTCTGACATTAAACATTATTCTTACTTGTAAAATGTGAATAATATTTTAAACAGATGCATGGCTAAAGGTGGTTCAAGCCACACCTTTATTTCTCTGTCAAAAAAAGCATAAATAGAACATAATTAATATTTTGGGGCGCCTGGGTGGCTCAGTGGGTTAAGCCGCTGCCTTCGGCTCAGGTCATGATCTCAGAGTCCTGGGATCAAGCCCCGCATCGGGCTCTCTGCTCTCTAGGGAAGCCTGCTTCCTCCTCTCTCTCTGCCTGCCTCTCTGCCTGCTTGTGATCTCTCTGTCAAATAAATAAATAAAATTAAAAAAAAAAAAAAGAACATAATTAATATTTCAGGAAAAAGATACTATTGCTATCATCATTATATTTATATCTCATGGTGAATGTTTAATCTATTTCAGATTCTTTTCCTAATCCTAGATGACTAACATGAAAAGTAGCACACTGTAATTCTAAATAAAGACTGGTTATTTTTTAAAAGGGAAAATAAAATTTAAAAATAGTGGTTCAAGGGGCGCCTGGGTGGCTCAGTGGGTTAAGCCGCTGCCTTTGGCTCAGGTCATGATCCCAGGTCCTGGGTTCGAGCCCCACATCGGGCTTTCTGCTCAGCGGGGAGCCTGCTTCCTCCTCTCTCTCTGCCTGCCTCTCTGCCTACTTGTGATTTCTCTCTGTCAAATAAATAAATAAAATCTTTAAAAAAAAATAAAAAAATAAAAATAAAAATAGTGGTTCAAGAAGTCAGGCACAGGGGTTTCAAGGAGGAAAATAAAGGGGCTACTTTCTACAACTCTCAAGGTTAACACCGTAGCAAATAATTGATACTCTTCATTTAAGAGAAAAGTTGTATCAGCCTACTGAACCTAATTATAGAGATTACAATGTATAACCATACACAATCAACCACAACCCAAGTGTTTCTAGTAAGTGCCAGTGAATATATTATTTTTAAGAATTTATACAATTCTTACAAAAGAAAAACAAGGTTGCCTGAGTGGCTCAGTCAGTTAAGTGTCTGCCTTCAGCTCAGGTCATGATCCCAGGGTCCTGGGATACAGCTCCCCCATCAGGCTCCCTGCTCAGCAGGAGCCTGCTTCCCTCTCTTCCTCTGCCTCCTCCCCACTGCTCATGCCCATGCTCTCTCTCTCTTTCTCTTTCAAATAAATAAATAAATAAATAAATCTTTAAAAAGTGGGAAAAAAAAACCAATAGAAAAACAACCATTTAGGGCTATGGTGACTGTTTCTTAGAGACTCTTCTAAAATATGCCCCCCACCTTTTAAGAGATTTTATTTATTTGAGAGAGTGAGAGATAGATTACAGAGGGAGAAGAAGAGGAGAAGCAGCTTCCCTGCTGAGTAGGGAGCCAGATGTGGGGCTTGATCTCAGGACCCCAGGAGTATGACCTGAGCCAGAGGCAGACGCTTAACCCATTGAACCACCCAGGTGCCCCTCAAATATGCCTTGTTTCTAACAAGTGATTTTTCTTTATATCTAATCACTGACTGACTTAGCAGCCTGTTCTTAAGATCAAGCTGCAAAATCTTCTAAGGGGCGTTGGTAAAGACATTACTTCACTAACAAAAGTTGCAATCACATAGAAACATAAGGCAAGTTTGGGGGTTCCATTTTTGTTTTTGTCACCTCAACTTCAAGGAACGTTGGAAAACTCTGAGCAATCTTTACCAATGGCACACAAGCAATCACTAGCAGCATCCGTCCACCCACCCTCCTTCCACAGGCACTTCATATTTTCTAGTGTTCGTCCCTCCCACAATTCCCCTTCTCATTCCCTTTTCCTTGAGTCTGACTCTTCAGCCTACAGCATGGGCACTTTTACAGATTTAGCCTTCCTGTGGGACTCAAGGCTTAAAAAAAGTTTTCTCCAATATCTGGCAGAGTAAACAAGTACATTAGTAATTGGAAAAGATCCACCACCACCAACTGCTTTTCCCTAAAAGATACAGTAGGAAATATATTTTATAAACCCCACAATTTTACTTTATTAATGAAAAGCTATCCTTTAACAAATAGTTCTGTTTTTATCAATCACCAACATCATTATTATTAGCAGGGTCTTCATTATGATGTTTAAGTGGTCTACATACATTATTTCATTTAATCTTCACAATAAGCCTCAATATGACAAATGATGAAAAAACTGAAGCACAGAGGGGTTAAGTAATTTGCTGAAGGGAAAATTACAAATAAATGGCAGAGTTAGGATTGAACCTAGAATTCTCTGACTTTCAGCTTCTTGCTAGAGTGTGTTACTTTTCTAATTCTCTTACAGTTTTATAACTTTGATGTAAAAGGTCTATTATTAATTCATTCAATAACTGAATTTTACTGAACATCTGGCATTATGGTAGGCAATGAGATAAAAATAAAATCCAAAACAGACTGACATTATAAAATCACAAGAGCACTATTAACAGTTGAATATATTTAACACAAGCATCAATGTTACTTATAAATCAGTCTGAACTTGGTGGCTGAAAAGATTTCTGGGAGATTTCTATAGTAAAAAAGACCAGAAAAACAGTTACTTTCGAAAGAGAGGTGCTCATTACTCATTCACCTCCCTCTTGTTTCTCTATGTTCCCACAAAGGCCTAAGGGTTCTGACAGTTTTTCAGCATCAGTAACATTTTAAACAGTAACAGCAGTGTATTTCTGAGAAGAATCAGAAATGCTCCCAGATGAGATTTCTGGACTATGCAAACATTAACCAAAATTACTATTATAATACTAGAAAAAAAGCATGCCTTATCAACATGAATGGTCACCTGGGAAGAGTGCAGATCAGAAAGAGTGCTGTAAAAGTGCTGGGAACTATGATCGTACTTAAAGACGGTACGATCATGTTCTACCACTTACCACTTTCTAAACCTTGATTGATGCAAATTATTTTACAATTTAAATATTTTTGTTTGAAGCACTGGCACAAACACAAACACCAACATTTTAAATTTTAGTTCTTGCTACTTTTGACAACCTGTCTTAATCTCTTAACTACATTTAAAACTTCATATTATACATGTGGCAAAGGGTGATTCTGATGCCTTGGTTTAAAATTTCATAAAAACATCTTAAAGTACCTTTTAATAGAGACACTTTAGCAAGAGGTTCATTTAAGTCTTGCTCATCCATTTGGGCGTCTGCACAGGACAAAAAAGATAATTACAAATAGTAATCAGCTCCATCTTCAAGCTATCACTATCAAAATAAATAAATGAAACTTATACAATGATCGTATCTGGATAGTTGAAATTAATTTTAACAATATACCCAAGATTCAAGGGAGAAACTTCAAAAATGGAGACTGCTTTTCCCCCCAAACATAAACTTTGAAATCTCCACCTACATTAACCTGCACACCTAAACTGCTCAGCCAGTAACAATAACATCTGTAGATTTGCAAACATTAGGTTATAACTCACCTGTAGTGTCGTCACTACTTTTTTCCTTGCTTGGACTCAGAGTATCTGACAAATCAGATTCTTTTGCTTTTGCCTGGTTTTCTACCAAGAAAAAAATGAAAGTAGAATCTCATTACCCCTATATCAGTAAAACTGCTTTAGGCTTTGAGTGCTCTAAATCTACTGATATGCAAAATACTTTAAAAATTAACTGAGGTCACTGACTCTCTTAACTTCTTCACCACTCTAGTCCAAAATGGAATGCTGGTTATTACACATGGCTCATACTAAATTATAATGAGGATCATGTCTGCTGTGCAGAGGGCTGGGGCTTTTGTCAAGGCTGTCCACTGGCCAACTAGAAACAAAAATGAAGCAAGCTTTGCTAAAATATTCAGAGAACTGCAACAAATATAGCAAAATTCCAAGACAATGTGGACATTGTATGAAGATGATGCAAGGAAATGGCTCTTTTATATAAAAACACTAGTTAGGTTGCCTTAGCAACAGTTATACTCAGTAATATTTATATTTATATAAGACTCTAAAATCACAACTATTATAAAAATGACATTTAAAACAAGAAAAGCAACAGCCTTTTATATCTTAAAAAAATATAACTGTACCTGAACCACACTGAGAAAGACTTTAAAAAAGAAGTTTTGTGATTATTTGCAAGTGGTGTGCTGCCTGAGCCAATGAAGGCATCCTAGGCCTCGTTTTCAACAAGTTGCTCTCAAAACTCTTAACTATAAGCCCGGCAATTTATTAAAGATGACTGGCAATTAATTAGGCTGTAGATTCTTATCTATAATTGTACACCTGCATGTATTATGGCATGCATTAGAATAGCGTTTAGAGTGATGTTCGTTTCTCTCACCACATCTTATAGCATCTCCCCATTCTCCACTAGGTCTAAGCCAAACTTTACATGTCAGGATTTAGCTATAATTTGGTCCCTACATTAATTCACATATGAGCTCTGTTTCAGTCAGGCTAGCCTCTTTACAGGGCTGAGATATGCTGGCTCACTATCATCTCCAATTCTTTGCTTGAATTGGTATTTCACTAAACTCAATGACCATTCTCTCTGCTTGGCCTATTCATTCTGTGAGATACAGCTTAAGCCCTACCACCTTTAAGGGAGTCTTCATTTCTCCAGCATGCTGCTCCTTTTTACTGTATATTCTCTGTGTCCTATGATTTTATAATTAATAACCTATTTTATATCATTCTATGTATATTTATGTATCTTATTTCTTTAGTTAGATTATAAATTCTCTGAGTATATGATTTTTTTTATAATGTTATAGCTGTTGTTTGAGGTAACACACATCAAAAACTTAAATTATATAAGAATGTTCACTGCAGCATTGTTCATTATGGAATAGAAAATACTCAAGATATATTCCTTACTATCAAGTAAAAATAAAGGCTGTTAAAGAGCAGTATGTATAGTATGACTCCAGATTGAAAATAGCTATATATTTAGCTATGAATTTTCAGCTGTACATATTTATTCAAGCCTGGAAGGATCCACAACAGAGGTACTTACTGTCATTTCTGGAGGTTGGGACATGGCAGATACTTACTAACTTCATACTGTCATACATTATTTGAAAATTTTTGTTAATATATATTGTTTTATAACCAATTAAATCAAGAGATATCTTCCAGGGGTGCCTGGGTGGCTCAGTGGGTTAAAGCCTCTGCCTTCAGCTCAGGTCACGATCTCAGGGTCCTGAGATCGAGCCCCGCATCAGGCTCTCTGCTCAGTGGGCAGCCTGCTTCCTGCCCCCTCTGACTGCCTCTCTGCCTACTTGTGATCTCTCTCTCTCTGTCAAATAAATAAATAAAATCTTAAAAAAAAAAAAGAGAGAGATATCTTCCATTTTAAAAGTGATCAGAAACTAAAACCATTAATTAATATTAAAATATATTTAATACAATATTAAAATATAACTTCTTACGGCTATTCCATTAAGAACATCCCTAGAATGTGCAGCTTAATTTGTAAAATAGGTGATAGATTACAAGAAGCCTTTTGCTTCTTTTCTCACTGCCATTTCTAGTCGAAGTCCAGGCCAACTGCTGAGAGACACACAGCTTAGATTAGAAGTGGAGTCACTGACCATAGAGATCCATGGGAATCCAATCTATGACTTCTGGTGCATTCAGTGTGCTATAATCAGACATTTCTGAATGTTCCAGTTTTAATCACAAAGTTACAATCTCAAAGAAGGCAGCCTAGTACATCTAATCTATACATAGATGGAAAAGGAACCACTCTGGGAGAATTAAAAAATGACTCTCTTCTGATTTTAATATTTTTGGCAATTTTATGATCAAGATATTAAGGTAAACCAAAAAGAACATATTTTCAAAAGTATTCTTCTGGCTTTGAAGGAACTTTAATTTTATATAGAGAGTATTAGCCATGAAGGTAAAATTAAAGGTGGGACCAAATCTTCCATCAAGATCTTACTATAATATAAGTCCCATGAGAGCAGGGATTTTTGTTTGTTTTGTTAACTGCTATATCCCCATTGCAGAGAACAGTGTACAGCACATAGTAAGTGCTCCAAAAAAGAGGATGTTTGAAGGCACAAATCTATTTTGAGTAAGAAGACAAGTCAAATCATGTTCTATCATTGGTATGTCCTGATAATACATTATTATATAGAGGCAAACCAAATCTATTCAAGAATGAAACATAGGACAAAACAAATGAAAGAGTATCTCTTTTCAAAATATCCATTCTTTAGCTATGAAGTGGCACCCAACTTTCTTGTATCAAAAAATCCTTGCTGGTTGATTTTCTATGCAGTACTTAATCACTAAGATATATACCAATAACATATAGAAGGAAACAGAACAATAGCTACCAACATTCATACCAAAACTGTTCCCAAACTGGAAAGTCTACAACAAGGTGACTATTTTCACTAGGTCTCTGAGAACACATAATGATGGATGGGCAAAACAAACATTCTAGCCACAGACCACTTCCTACACCAATGGAACCATTAGTTGGAAAGAAAGCAAGAAGGGTCATGAGAATTAACATTTGTCAAATACCAGAATGCTGCTTCTTGCTTTATAAGCAACATTCATTAAATTCCTACAAATTCTGACAGTTAAATATTGTCGATTCTACTTTACAAATGAGGAAACTAAAGTTTAAAGAATACGTTGCCTGAGGGCATATAGATAGCTAGTTAGTGGTGGAACCTAGAGTTGAAACCATGTTTTCCATGGTATTCTTTCTACTTCTACCTAAGGCTGCAGTAAACACACAATGACTGGTAGCTGAGTTAGGGTTTAAAAAGAAAGTATACGCAACCTATGATTACATTTTGCATTAGGTGAAATATCTGAAAGAAATACTAAGACTTATAATACCTAGTAATTGGCAATCTCTAGCAACTGTTATTTTCAATACATAAAAAAAAAAAAAAATCTATCAAAAACATCATCCAGGAAAGCCTTTTTAAAAATAAAACAACTTAGCCAAATCCTAAAGAAATACTTTATAGCCACATATAAAGCATTTAAAATGTAATGTTTCTCAGGCATCTAATTTCTTACAAGGATTAGTATACCTCTCTATACATTAACTGTGAGAAATGCTTGTAAAATGTTGACTGCTGACAGAGAAATCTCTGGGTATATAAAACTTAGATCTGTATTACCATTCTTAAAGGATGTATTTTATTCACTTGCATGGACTTACTTGCTGTAATTTATTTAATAAATGCCTTCATTACTGGACATTTATGTTTTCTTCTTTTTGCTTTTAAAGCATTAAAGCAAATACCCTTGCATATTTGTCCAATTTGTTTCTTAATATAAAAACCCAGAAGTGGAATTGCTGGATCAAAATGCAGGCTCTTTAAAGCTTTCAACACATATTTTATAGCCAAGTTTCAAAAGCAAATCAGTAAAGATGGCACAAATCTTTTTCAATAATGACATCACATAATTTCAAGCAAATATATTTTAATTCAGAATGCATTAAATAGAAGAATTAAAGTAGCAAGATATTTTTTTAAAGGACTGATTTTTTTCCTAAGGCTCTACTTTCACTTTAGTGTGCTGGCTATTCAGCTCATCTGAACAGGTATTTGGGTGGTGAAGTAAAAGCTATGTTAAAATCTGTTCTCATCTCACTTTAATTAGATGAAATAAATTACCACATGTACTAAAAATAGTTCACTGCTCTGAAACCCAATGCCTGTTTGCCAGAACAATATTAGTGATGCATATTCTATGCATTCTTTCCCCAAATATGGCATCTGCCATGCACAAAATTCAGAATGGAAGCCACCAGATACTTGAAATAACATTCTCCTTTTAAATATTTTTAAAAGCCAAAATGGATCCAGTTGCTTTCATAAAACAGAATGTACTGAAATCGAGTATTCCAAACTTTTATCACTCATTGTTTTAACTGACCAAAAAGATTGTGAATCTACTTATAAACTTTATACTGGTAGGTTCTGCTGAAAGTCCTAAAATGATAATGAGCATATCACACCAAACTTATTTGCCCTATTTCCCTAATGTGTAACAGTGACTTGACAATATACTGCTTTAAAACACACTTTTCTTCTCTGACAACTGTAACAGAAGAGAATTAATAGAATAAACTATTTCAGACAATTTTAAGACTACCCATTATAAATATAAGAAGACGCTACATAAGCACTTTTGTTTAAATCAAACTGATATGCCAAAAATTAAGAAAATATTAAATTTCATAAGGAATATTATGGTATGACAATCACAGAAGTAGAACTAAAAGCATTTTTCACCTGTTGTTTCAAAAAAGATTTACATTGTATTTAATTAAAATTTTATATCAAATATAACAAATACCAAATATCAAAGCTGAAAATAATGCTAGAAGTGAGAAAGACTGAAACACATCTTTTAAAACCCAACGAAACCAATTTAAAGCACTTAAAAAAATACATGTATTTACCCATTTAAAAAGAAACTTTCTAACTAAGATATCCTTCTTAAGACAGAACTCCCAACTATTTCATATTGTATGATACTGTTACTGGATTGCCATCTGGTGAGCTATAAGAAATAAATTGATGGTTAAAATACTATGACCTTGGAAATGTACACTAACCTCCATTATCCAAAAGAGTGGTCAAAACCCACAGAAAACCCACAGAAAACAAACCTTTTGAAAGCTTTGTTTCTTCTACCACTTTGGTTAGATGCCCCTCGACGATCAGCTTCTCTGCCAAAGAAAACAAACGTTACTATCCAAGCCCAAACCGAGTAGCATTTCCCTGAGCAGGGCAGTGTAACACATTCCATGACCAAATTTAAAGATGATAATATTACTCCCATGACTAGGCTTGTACAAAAACCTGAAGCTGGAAGGAGAACTAAGAAAACTCAAACTATAATAGAGCAATGAGATTAATGAAGAAATTTGGAGGTATGGGGACTATTTGTCTTTTGTTTTCATTAGTTTTTACCTTATCTAAAAAGCTTAGACCTTTTTAAAAAAAGGACTCAGAACAAAGAAATCCTCTTTAAATCAAGGATATGAAGTTGAAATAAAGGAATTCTGAGAAAGTATTTATTTAAATAAAGAAGCACTACAAATTATGTTATACCAATAGTTTACTTTTCCCCATTGATACAATTTAGCAGAGATGTATATATGACATGCTTCAGTAAAATGATTCATTTTTAAAGATATTAAAGCAAATACTGTTTTGTTTTATAGGGGATTCTCTATAAATGTATGTAGCTTCTTTATAATTTATTTAAATTTAGATCTCCATATTCTACATTTCATTGACAAGGATATCTATTCTGTATATCCCCTTATTTAATCCTGTATGTCAGTTGGTCTCCTTGAATTTATACTTTTGCTGTATGTGAAGTCATTTCTCTACTCCTTCACTCTTCAAGCCAGTGCACCTTGGTTTATGCCCACCACTCAATTACTGAAAACTGTTCCAAGATCACTATAACCTCCTCTCTGCCAAAGGCCATGGCTCCTTTTAGTAACTTTCATTTCATATAGGCTCTTTGTGGTGTGTGGCACTGTTTGCCCCTGCTCCTTAAAATCTTTTTTTAAACGTCAAAGTAATAAACTTAGATAATTTTAAAAGGCAGTCCTACAAGATATATAATGTAAGCTGTCCTTTCCATCTTCTGTCCTACTCTACTCCATTCTTGAAATTTCACTTCCTAGAATTGTTCCTAGAAGCAACAATTTTTTTTTTTTAAAGAAACAACTTTTAATTTCAAGCCATTTCTTCTGGTATTTCCATTTATATTTCTAAATAAAATACTGCTATTTCTTCACTTTTCCATTTTAGACACTATTTACTGACAATCTCTTACAGATGACTAAAAAAGGACTCAATAGTCCTTTTTTACTATCATCCTCCTAAGAGAATTACATTTTGTCCACCTTTACTCAGTATGTGTATTATGACTTATTTATATTTGAATCATATAATATGCTACAATTATATTTTTCTGCTTGTACCTTCTTATACAACATGTAGTGATTTTTGGAGCTTGCAATATCTTGTTTTATTTTGCTAACTTTTTATATAACTATCTTAAACACAGCCCAAGTTCTTTTTTTTGTCCTTTTGCCCAAGTTCTTACAGAGCCATAAAAACTTTCAATACTGTCCAATGTATCAGGTAATCCATTATATTATATATCCCTGTCTGTCCCTTCCCCCAACCCCTGCTCCAGTCTGGGCTATATCCAAAATTCCATACCCCCAGAATCCAAATGTTTCTCATCCTGTTTTATTTCCTTGTTTTAGTGTAACATATCCTGCTAGTTTCCTGAAAGGGAGATGACAGAATGTTGACTTTGACTTTGACTCCTTTGACTTTGTTTCTCTTTGTTCCTCTGAAAATGGTTAGTGTTCTACTCTCACCTTTGACTGATGGTTTGACTAGATACACAATTCTACAGGAAATAATTTTCCTTCAAAATTTTGAAGCATTTTTCCACTGTCTTCTAGTTTCAAATGATGGTGAGTCCTGTTCCTCAGTATGCATGGTAGATACTTCTTCTGCTCAGCAAAGCCTGTTGTGCTTGTCCTTTCTGGGCACCTGGGGGACTGCATGTTCCAAACACCCTAGTATTAAGGACAGTCCACATAACTGGTTCTAGCCAGGGCCAAGGCATTTAAGAAAGAGTAGTAGTTTTCTATACTTCTATCCTCCCCCCATTCTAGAAACCATGTGCTGAGATGGCATAATTCTTTATCTTAAGATGGTGAAGGCTCCATGAACTTAAAGCTCTGAATAACAACACGGAACAGTGTTCTCTCCTCCACCATGGACATGTAGCATGAGTGCAAAAAAATATTTCTTTAATTAAGCCATTTAGATTTCAGAAGTTTATTTATTGCTATATTATAATTTAGTTTACGACTAATAGACTATGAGATCCTTTGTTTCTCTTTGGCAATTTTCAGAATCTTGTCTTTATCCCTGGTGTTCCTAAATTTCATATATTCAGAACATGGTCTTTTTCTTTCTTTCTTTTCTTTTTCTTTTTTTTTTTTTTTGAGGTGAAATTCACATAACAGAAAATAATCATTTTAAAGAGAACAATTCAGTGGCATTTAGTACCTTCACAATGTTATGCAACCACAACCTCCACCCAGTTCCAAAACATTTTTACCACCCTAAAAGGAAACCTCATGCTCATTAAGAACTTACTTCCCATCCTCCCTTCCCAGCCCCAGCCATCACTCATCTGCTTTCTCTCTGTGATTTCCTATTCTGGATATTTCATATATATATATATATATATATATATATACACCATCACACAATATGTGAATTACTGTGTCTGGCTTAGTGTGTGTATTCTAAAATATACTGTTGCATGTTCAGTGTATCCTTTCAGTTTAGAAGCTCATTATCTTCAATTCTGGGGAATTATCTTCTATTCTGTTTCACTGATAAATTCTTCTCTTTTTTATTCCTCCTCTTTTCCCCCTCTCTCCCTTCCCATACTCTGGAAATCTTATTATTCAGATGTTAGATCTCCAGGATCAGTTCCTTAATTTTCTTAAATTTCCTCCCCTTTTTTTCTTAGATAAAACCTCAAGCCAACTCTTGTCTTTTGTATTTTCTGGAACACTTCCTCTACTTTCTCTTCTAACACCAACTCAAAAAGATATATGCACCCCTATGTTCACTGCAGCATTATTTACAGCAGCCAAGATCTGGAAACAACCTCGGTGTCCAATGATACATGAATGGATAAAGGAATTATATATATTAATCAGCCATAAAAAAGAATGAAATCTTGCCTTTTGGGACAACATGGATGGACCCTGAGGGTATTATATTAAGTGAAAAAAAAGAGAAAGACAAATACTGTATGATCTCACTTACATGTGGAATTAAAAAACAACAAACTCACACATACAGAGAACAGATTGGTGGTTGCCAGAGGCAGGAGGCGTGGGGTGAGAGAATTGAGGGGAGGGGATCAAAAGGCATTTAAAAAAAAAAAGGCCTTAGGCATAATACAGGACACAAAAGCAGTATATGAAAGGACAAATAGATTTGACCACATATAAATTAAAATTATCTGATCAAACTCACTATAAATACAGGTAAAGGGCCAGTGACAGATATGGAGAAAATATTTGAAAAATAAAGAACAGATAAAAGGTTATTATTCATTCATTCATTCATTCATTGAACAATTAATTAGGGGGTACTACTATGTGCCAGATACTCTCCTAGGTGCTAAAAACATTAGAATGAACAAATGACAACATTCCTGCCCTACCGGTTCTTACATTCTAATGCTATCATCACTATTGAAATTATTATTATTATTATTATTATTTAAGGTTACATTCTTAAATCTAGTGGCCTGTAATTAAGTAATTGAGGAAAAGGGGCACCTGGGTAGCTCAGTCAATTAAGCATTTGCCTTTGGTTCAGGTCAGGATCTCAGGGTCCTGGGATCCAGCCCTGAGTGAGGCTCCTTGCTTAGTGGTGAGTCTACCCCGCCCCACTCATGCTCTCTCTCTCTCTCTCAAATAAATAAAATCTTTAAAAATTAAAAAAAAATAAGTAATTGAGGAAAAGAACACTTTAAAAAAACATTTCTGGGGGACCTGGGTGGCTCAGTCAGTTGGGTACCCAACTTTTGATCTCAGCTCAGGACTTGAGCTCAGGGTTGTAGGTTTGAGTCCCGCACTGAGGTCTACGCTAGGCCTGGAGTCTTCTTAAAAAAAAAGTTTCTAGGGACGCCTGGGTGGCTCAGTTGGTTGGACGACTGCCTTCGGCTCAGGTCATGATCCTGGGAGTCCCGGGATCGAGTCCCGCATCGGGCTCCCAGCTCCATGGGGAGTCTGCTTCTCTCTCTTGACCTTCTCCTCGCTCATGCTCTCTCTCACCGTCTCTCTCTCAAATAAATAAATAAAATCTTTAAAAAAAAAAAAAGTTTCTAACCACTGGTTCTCAAACTTGGAGTAGACACCTCAATTCTTTGGGAGCACTAAAAGTCAGAGGCCACTCTGTGACTCAGAAGAGAACCTCCGTGTAATCATAAATGCAGGTCTTCAAAGAACCATTTGACTTGGTACAACTGAAAGATAAAGTAAAGGATTTTCTTTCTTTTTAAAAACTCCCTCTTTTTGAGGGATATTCTAGAAAGATAATTGTTCATTTTCTATTTTAAAACCATACTTTAGAAAAAAATTTATTCATTTATTAGAGAGGGAGAGAGAAAGTGCACATGCACAAGCGTGAGGGGAGGCAGAGCAGGGAGTGTGATGCAGGGCTCATTCCCAGGACCCTGAGATTACCACCCCAGCTGAGGGCAGACACTTAACTGACTGAGCCATCCAGGGGCCCTAAAGCATACTTATTTATTGTGGAAAATAATATACAGAAAGGGACACAAAACACAAAGGTACAGGCTAATAATTTTTTTTTAAAGCAAATGTTTACATGGCTACATCTCAAATCAAGAAACAGAACCTAACCACAACCCCCTAAAGCTTCCCACAATTCCCTTTCCAATCAAAACCCCATAAAGGTAACTACCATCTTGACTTCATGGTATTTAATTACTTGCATTTCTTTATAGTCACACTACCCAAATGTGCATGACTAAATAATATAATTGTAAGGGTTTTGAACTTCACACAAGTGGAATATTACAGTGAGTATTCTTTTGTGTCAGCCTTCTTTCATCGAATATGCCTCGGTGTGTATT